GCCTGCAACTGAAAATATGGATGGAGGACAACAGAGCTGCTTCATGGAAGAAGAACCTCAGCTTAGCCTGTTAGCTTTAGCGTTAGCCCCGACACTATCACATGTATATATATTAGCTCAGCGCTACACATTCTCCTCTCGTCACTGAGGCCCTCCATCCACATGGCAGAGAGGGGAACGTAAAGATGACTCAGACTGCAGCTGAAAATATGGATGGAGGACCTCAGTTTAGCTTGTTAGTTCTATTTCGTGTAAGCTCCGCCCTCTAAGGCTATCGCTGATGGGTACCCCCGCGCGCGCTCGCGCATTCTGAAGAACCAATGGTCTACGCCCACGTACTGTGGGCCCCACCTCGGTCCGTATAAAAAGAGAGGACGGACCTGAGTTCAGCTCCCCTTTTTTCTTCAGCTTCGGCATTCGACATGTAACCATAGAAGACGCCACATACATGTAAGTGCTATGATTCCTTCTATATTGACATGGAATTCGTGTCCGGCGCCACCGAGCTATGATCCGCGTAGCCGTCCTTCCGGGCTGCTCGGGGTTCGGCTTTCCCCGGCACAACCCGTTTTTTACTCCGATCTCATTCCTCGGAGAAGGTTGATCGTGGTTAGCTAGCATATGGTTTTTCCCGTGGGTGTCCCTGCGGCGCGGTATTATGCTAAGCTAAGGCGCCGGACATCTTCGGACATCTTCCTGCTTCCACAGAAGTCCCCATTTTTTCATAACCGCTACTAGCTCACTCATTACACGGATGTGGTAGCTAGTAGTTAAGGCCTTCAGACATCAACGTTTCCAGCCAGGACTGGACTGGAAGCTTTTTCAGATTTTTCGGACCATGCGCTTCTCATCTTCGGCATGGTCTGGGCTATATTTCTCCGGGGACGGAGGCCCAGGCTAGCGGGGTTTCCCGCTGGAGATCACGGCGGCAAACTAGCTAGGCCGGTTAGCCACCTTGCCAAGCTAAGCAGTGCACTATATCTCAGCATGTTGCGCCAAATTTGGACCCCGCTTTTCAGTGGAGAAGCTGGAGTCAGGGTGCTGCCGCTTGGTGTAGCTTCTAGCCATGGACGTGCTATGTAGCTTGACCAGAGCAGTTGCAGACTGCTGCTAGCTGGTTTGTAACACATGGTAAATGGTACTGAACTTATAGAGCGCTTTTCAAGTCCCTCCGGACCCCAAAGCGCTTTACACTAACAGACATTCACCCATTCACACTCACATTCACACACTGATGATGGCAAACTACACTGTAGCCACAGCTGCCCTGGGGCACACTGACAGAGGTGGGGCTGCCATACATCGGCGCCACCGGACCCTCTGACCACCATCAGTAGGCAAGGTGGGTGAAGTGTCTTGCCCAAGGACACAACGACTGAGACGGCTGGACAGGGGATCGAACCAGTGACCTTCTGGTTCCAGGACGACTCACCTAACCACTCCGCCACAGCCGCCCCACACATGATGTGTAGGCTGCTATTGGCTTGCTCGCAACACAGAGATGTTAGCTAGCTGGGTTAAAGCATTCAGTGGTCGGCGCTCCCAGCCAGGACTGGACTGAGAGCTCATCCAGACCGTTTAGCCAAGACGGGTGTTGCCCCTAGCATGGAGATGCTAGCTACAATGCTAGGAGTTGCTTACTTCGAGCTGAGAGCTCCGGTCTCGTTCCACGCAGACGTGACAAAGTGGAGGGGGTGACCGTCTTCGGTTCCCGCCGGTCCAAGTACTGGAATCTTCGTCCTCCATGGTCTTCGTCGCTGAGGCAGAACGGTCTGCCGGTGGGCGACCTTTTCTCTCACAAGCAGTACACCAGCAGCTTGGCAGCTGGGCCGACCGGTCCCGTCATCGTGCGGCACAGTCGGGTGCTGCAACCAACAACATCACTCTCCAGGCCATCAACTTAAAAAAAACGCGACGGGACCTCAGCACAGAGGCCAGAACGAGTTCGAATCTCTGCGCTGTTTAGGCCGGGTGTGCGTCCTGCATCATGGTTTGGAAGCAGGAGAAATGTGTATGGCTAAGGCTAGGTCCGCTAGTCTGAAACTAGCCGGCCTCTGGTCCTTGCTAAACACAGTTTGAATCTCTGCGCTGTTTAGGCTGGGTGTGCATCCTGCATCATGGTTTGGAAGCAGGAGAAATGTGTATGGCTAAGGCTAGGTCCGCTAGTCCTGAAACTAGCCGGCCTCTGGTCCTTGCTAAACACAGTCACACAAAAACATCTTCTCCCACCGTTCCACGTTCGGCGGTCCGTTCCGCCCCCTCGTGG